CAAAAAATAGAAATGAAAGGTCACGACCCCCCACATACTCGGCAATTAACTCTTCGATTCGAGATCTTCAGAGCTCGGGAGACTAGTGTACTATCCACGTCGGACACCGAGCTCAAGCTCGGTGTCCCAGCGCCGCACCATCTCGGATAAGCGCCACATGACATCGATCAAAACAAGGGCCCAATGCATATTGGTCCACGGTTCTACTTTTTAACATGCATGATCTATTCTTGCATAAAATTAAGTATTGTTGAGTATGAATTTATAAAATTCTTTTGATCTCTATGTCATCCAAAGTTTACCATTAATCAGAACTTTAAGCATGATGTATGAATATGTTCTCGTAGCAGTGTTAAGTACCGTGGGACTAATAAAGTTAACCAACAACTTTGATCTTTGAGTGATATGTATAGCATATACTGCTTTGTGACATAACACATGTACTTATAACTACTATATAACTTTAGGTTGAAGGGAGAGATTCAAGAAAACAGGACACGGGATGCAAAAATTATGGAGCACCAGGTTCGTTAGACTTTGACTCCAGTTCATCAATCTATTATGGTGGTCAAGAAAATTATTCCCCAAGAACTAGGACCACTGAATCCCACCATGTTGTGAGTGCCTTAATTCCCATCCTTTATCATCATGCTCCATGCTCTTCTTTGCCAAAAGGATAATTATCTAAATGTTTATACCACAAATCTATTGAAACGTTAATGCATGCACCTTCGGAACACCCCAGGAAAATTAAAGTCCATCGGTTTGTTCAGCCGCTCCAATCAACGTTCTCGTTATCCGGTCCTATATTTTGCACAATGCATTAGTAAATTGAACGATACAATTGGAGACATCAATTAATTATGATACAGAAATTAAGTTGCAAGTTAATTGAAGCACAAAGAGAACATTATCAAGCTGCAAACCACGATCGAAAATCGCATTTAGCACCATTGCTATCGTTGCCTATTGTGGTTTTGTTGACATTCACAGATGCGTTATCGTTGTCTATGACTATGCCCCTACAACGCCTTCCTGAACGATCTATATATTCCTCTCCCTGTCATTCTTTCATTATGATCCATTCCACAACCATCCCGAGGCCGGTGTAACTCTAAAAATCGTGACATTGTTCTCAGCCATAAATAATTTAGAGTAACTTATGTAAATATGGATGCATGTAATTTCTTTTAAATTTAAGGTAAATTTCTTTTTATATTTAAATTTCAAATTATTTTTTAGTATAAAAATTAATTTGTATAAACTATCTCATATTAGTTTCTCCAAAATATAATTTTAATTTATATATAAGTTAAATTTAAATTATAGAAAAACTTAATTTTGTTTTATTTTTCTATTTTTCTCATCATGTAAATATTGTTTATACACAATAATTTAATTATGCAAATTATAATCACTTTATCATATTTTTTATGAATTAAAACAATATAAAAATAACATTTAACGTAATATAAATTTGGACATAATAATATAATCATAAAAAATAATTTAAAGACAATAGAATTTAAAATAAAATAGAAATAATTAATTTAAATTTGAAAATAATAGCATATTTATAATAATTACTTATTTTTAGTTTTGTAGAATTATGTGATCAATGTAGTTACAATATTATCTTACGGTATCTTTTTTTAATACATAGAATATCATTTTTATTTTATTGTTTATTTTAATGATTATAATAAAGTGGTGTTCACATAATAGTGGGAACACAATAACAACTAATTATTAGTTTAAATTGATTAGTAGGTCCTAAACTAATAGAGAATTCTAATTAATTAGTTTCAAACTAAAAAATTATAATGAAGTTGTTAATTTTTTTAATTATATCCTTAAAACTTTTAATACAGTCGTACATTGTCATTTATAACAGTTTCAATCGACCAAAAACAGAACTTCTTAGGCATCCAAATACAAAATTTTTACAAATTAAAAAACCTAATATACTTTTTTAGTATACTTTTTTAAATATAAAAAAAAAAAAACCAAGTCAGACTATATTATAGGGATAAAATAGTGTTTCTAGTTACCGGCCGAACAAATCTTGATCTTTAGTTAAAAAACATTAATATCAAACTATTTGTATTAATAATTGTTGTCATATATATATATA